ACACACACATGCACACACATACATACACAGCTTATGCACCAGAGACAAATTCCTTGTGTGTCTAATCACACTTGGCCAATAAAGGATTCTAATACACACACGCACACACACACACACACGTGTGTGGGTATTAGAATCCTTTATTGTCCTGTCCTAATATTCCCTTGTATTCGTATCCATTTCATGTATTCATAATTATGTTTACACAATATATGTGTTACCTAATTCATGCTTGACGAAAAATAAATCAATCAATAAAAATCTGGCCTACCAGCTGGGGAAAATGAAGACTGGAATCCGTGACAACCCAGAAAGGATGGGGAACTGAGTTCAGAGGGGAGACTTAAGTTTAGCGACAAGATTAAAGCTGGATCCGGGACATTTGTGGTTAAACTGTCACTCACATTCGTTGGACAGGTGGGGCGCTGACGTTTTCCTCTCTTGCCTCGTGTTTACCTGGAGGAAGATTTGGCTGCCAATAAGGAGGCTGCTCTTTTGAATTACACAAGTCATGCTGAGGAACTGGGTGAGGTTAGGAAGAGGTCTTTCTTGCTTCGTGACCCCTAGAAATGGGGCACAGGGCACAATCCTTCCCACGGGGGTCCCCCAGCGTTTCTCCCACAAGCTACAAGGAAATTCACACGTGAGTATCACAAAAAGAGTTTTTTTTGTTGTTGTTGTTCTTTTTTCCTAACCAGCCCTGAGAATCTTGGGAGGGGGTTTAGTTTTGGGGGGGATAACTGATTGGCGGTGAATATTCAGCCACCGTCTTCACGCAGGCTCTGGTTGTGTCTGATAAACACTGTTGCATGCATCGTAGCTTGTTTCCATTGGGTTTAGCATAACTCCATCAAGCCAGGTTTCGTGGCTTTTAAGCCAGGGTGGATAAGAATCATTTTTTTAAAAAAAAAATATGTTAGATTTTTAAATTTTTAAATTGGATTTTTTTGCTTTTTTATCAAATGTATTTTAATAAAATGCTTTTGGAGTAAACTATCTGTCTAAAGATAGTTTTCTATTTAAGACACATTCATAATTTATTCAGCATGAAATGGAGGTTAGGTAGCAGGAGGCTGTATATTCCGAGTGGGTCAGAGGAGGAGCCAGTGGCTCTTTAAAACTTACGATTGAAATCAAGTTGATTTAAATCAAGTTGATTTAAATCAAGCCTTTTTACTAGTGATTTAAATCGTGATTTAAATTGACTTGATTTAAATCAAATCCACCCTGTTTTAAACCAGGGATGAGCACCTCTGGCCCCTTTAAGTCCTGTGGACTTCAACTCCCGGGAATTCTGGGAGTTGGAGTCCAAAGGTCATAAAGGGGCCCGGGGTTGCCCATCCCTCTTCTAAGCCAGGTTTGGTGGGTGACCCAAGGTGACATCTCTTCCCCAAGTGACCAGGGCAGGTGAGCTTCAGAGATTTGAGGTATGTTTGAAGTAGTTGAGTTTAAATCCCCCGGCCCTTGTTTTCCCCTCTGCGGTTATTTTACTAGCGTACAACATTGGGCTAATGTTGGGGGTTGGACTAGAAGATCTCCAAGGTCCCCTCTGGACTTCTTGTTGCACGTTCTAATATCTCTTTTTCAGGCTTGGATACTCACGTCAGAGAAAAGTGTAGACTGGGCTGTCCCCAATCCCAGCTGGAGCCAAGAAATGATGCTCCAGTTCAACCGCTACATGGAGATGACGAAGGATGGCAGCTGGAAGAAGCTCCCATCTTACCGAAGTTTCTCTGATCATCTTCCAGGCAAGCTTTTCTTTCTTTCCTTCCTTTCTTCTTTCTTTCTTTCTTTCTTTCTTTCTTTCTTTCTTTCCTTTCTTCCCTTTTCTTCTCTTTCCTGTTTTTTTCTTCCTTCCTTTCTTCTTTTTTTTTTTTTTTTTTTTTTTT